CGATGAATTTTTCAAATTATCAAGTTTAAACGCGAAAAATGGAAAAATGAGTGCGTTGGTCCGCGATTTTCGTCCATAATTTTTCCCTTGTTCGTTTCTTCGCGCAAAAGAGCCTCGTAATTGAAGCGTTGCGAAACCTTCCTCATCGCGAGTCCGTCGCGTCGTAACGCACGTGTGCATCCCTCGCAGCGTTAATTCGGCGGTTAAAGATTTCTCCACCGCGGTGTAGTATGTGCGGGTGGTTTCATTATGGCCTTCCGGTACAACGATCCACTTCAAAACGGCCTACTTGCTCGCTGACGACGGGTCTTAGGCACCCGTACTTGCTCATTGAATTATTGCGCTCCCGTGGTTGCGTACACAGTTAGCGCATGAGATCAGTTTAGTTTGCAGCAAACGAGCGTAACGCGCAAAAGCTACGTGGCGGTAACGCCGCTTTAACGTCGTCGAAGGCGGAGAGGCAGTCGGAATTAAAGATGAAGTGAAATCGAATTCCCGAGTTCGCGCATGTCGGAAAAAGTTTTCATTAGGAAGAGGGAAAGTAGTTATCCACCGCGTAAAATGTGCTACGCGAATAATTGTGTTAAAGCTGATGTAACGATTCGCACACGCGTAAATCAGTGCGTAAAGCGTTCAACATTCATCTCAAAATTCCAAGTGGCACTAATGCGATCTCAAAGGATGCGGCCGGATAATCGGCGAGCTTCGCGAATCTAGGAAAATTCCTGAAACCGGAAAGATTCGCAGATCGTCGCAAATTCTCAATCGATGAATTCGACACGCGATTGCTCCATCGAAATAATCGAGTCGAACGTAATTGGCTGTCATCTGTGTCTATATAATATTCCGTCCAAGTAATCAAAGTCTATATCGAGAGACTGTGTAACAGATATCGATCGGTTGTGCCTGCTATTACACATCTTTCCGTTAAGTGTTTCGACGATGCCCTCGATCTGCCAACTCGTCAGCCGCGTTATCAGCGATTGCTGCGAAACTGGGTCGCGCAGCTGTCGGATTTCTCAGGGGCAGCAAAATTCGCCAAGAAAATTGTGACTTCTGTTCCGTGAATAATAACGATTCGACAGGAAGACATGTATGTACTCGGAATCGCGCAGCCGCTTCGGGTCACTTGCCGCGTATAAATTCGCCGAGACTCGCAGTCTCAGCACGATCGCGCGGAAAATTCGCTGAACGGACGTGTACTCGCTCGGTAATCCTCCGTGCAATTTCATATATTTTCCATCTGAGATCGAATAACGCACGCGTGATAACGTCGGGAAATTATTCCGCCCGACGAAACAGTCTCCTTTTAAATCACAGGATTATTTCTCTAATCTCTCCGCGAAGCGCGTGTAATTTTCTGTGGAAGAAAATTGTAAGCACTTGTCCTCTTCGTTTGTGTAGAAAAATGAAAATGACGAATAAACGCGTGATAACGGATGCGGTATCTCTCGCTAATGCGAGAAAGCGAATTAATTATTTATTATCTAAAAAGCGCAAAATTCACGCGTAATAATATCACGATATTATGCGACGTTTCCGTGTGAATAAACGATTGGAGTCACGAAATCGCCTTTCTAATCTTCCGGGAATGTAGATAATTATCGGTGATAAAGCTGCGAATCTCCACTCTTTTCTGAATAAAAATTTAGCCGATAACAAATGCGGCGTTGAAGGGCGAATGTGAAACGGGTCATTTATCTTGCCAATGCGATAAAAGGAAATTAATATGTCCATAAAATGCACGCCACATTCTAAACGCGAACGTAATAAAAAAGCCGGACAATACATCTCAGCGCGCGACGCGACAGGTTCTGTGCGAATGAAGCGGTTGATCGCCACAAAATGGACCACAAAGCGTTATTGACGAAAGTGAAAGTAATGGAAAATTGATCGGGCTTGATGACAGTCAGGTGTGAACATAAACGATTTCCGGCCAGCCGTTATTGTTTGATTCGGCCATATCGCAGATTAAAACGTGCCATCGCGCACGATTAAGTACTGCGTATTTTTTGTGTGTTTTTTTTTTTAAGCACTCGTTATCATTTTTTTCATACTTGTGCACTCGACACTGACGACTGTAATCAGAATTTATGATTACATTCCACGCGCCATGTAACTAATGCAATACTATGCAAAATCGAATAACCAATGCGGTGGAACCTTTATTGTGTCATGCAAGCTTTTTAGATAACCGTCACAGTGGAAAAAATATCACAAAAAAACATTTGGCTCTTGACTCAAAGTGAACAAAAATCATATTACAAGCCGGAACGAAAGGAAATATTGATTTCTCGCGCAGTCGAAAATGTTTTATGTTTTTCCAGAAAAAAAATGGCAAAATGTTTGTCCGAAAATTCAGAATGGTATTTTGACGCGGTCAACGAGGACCATTGATTCTACTTTTGATGTGACCGCCTGTCGATGAGAGATCGGTAAAAAAAAAAAATAACATAAAAATCGCTGTATGCTCGACACAACACGTGCCGGCACAAGCGATCCTTTCGCGTATTATTGTTTAATCCGACCACGCTCGAAATCGAATTACATCGGTCGAATATATCGTGCCTATGTTCCGCGCCATTTCACGATGAGCGGACTAAAAGCCAAACGATGCCAAACAATCGATACGAAAAGCGAAAATCGACATTTGCGGTATGTCCGCTAATTGACCGCTCGTTGGCATCGAAAATAGCGCTCCAAATGTAAATGAAGCACATTACGAATGAAAAAGTTGATGCGCGCGAGGAGTGGAAATTGTATTGCACAAAAAAAAAAAAATACAATTGTTCTAGTAACAATCGGAAATACGTATTCAAAATGTTTGATATACTTTTGTATAAAAAAAAACTGTTGTACAAAATCGAAATAATTTCACGCTTTGAATCGCGCGATATCATAAATATTCCGAATGATCAGACATTTCGGATGTTTCAACATCCGCGTACTTGGAATGTCACTTTGATCCGCATCACGCCCTTAGCGCTATGGATTTAAACCGTACAGGAATCGTCGAGTAGCGATGCGTCCGAGAACCTTGCATTTCAAATGGGATAACGCCGCCTCGCCGTGGCGCATTTCACGCGTAATTCCCTTGAAAAGTTAAACCGGGACATTCTGTGTGTGCATATTATATGCAGTGTACGGTGCATCTGACACACGAGATGCGCGCCGCCGAGAACGTGTCTACGCGGCTATGACAATCGAAGCGCAGCCGACCGACCAGTTGACATTTTCGTATTTTCCGGGCCCTTGTGTCGTAATTAATTATCGGTTGATCGCGACGAAAATAGACAGCCGCGCACTCGAGCAAAATTTTGCGTGCCTGGCCTGTGATGACGCGCGAAGTCCTGTCTTCGGCAGAAATTAGAAATCGATCGCACCTCCGCGTCGACCGACTTGACTTATTTTTCTGGAACGCATTTTAAGTATGTATATATCTATTAAATCGCGACGCCGATTATTCTTCTCGAGAAACAAAATCAGAGACGAAGATTTATAAGTAATACATATTTGTGCGATATTTTTGTAATATTTTCAGACAGAAAACAAGTTTTCGTCTTATCGCGTAACGCTGAATACGTATAAAGCGTGTATTTACGTATTTTATCATCATCGTAGCAGACTGCGCAAACTGCATACGATACGATTTTATGAAGATCATAAAAAAATTGAAAGATATGCCTTACGATTGATGCTCAGCCATCTGCAGAGATCGCACTCTTTTACAGTATACTATCATCGATACTGCCTCCCTATACTCTCTCATGTCTCACATTCCACAGGTTACGCGATCCCGTTCTTTGACGGTAACAGAATCGCGATCGATCGATGCGGTTACGAGACTTAAAAGTCCTACATTTTGTAAAGATCGTCGCTCGTGTAACGTTGACCGACACGCTTTCACCCAAAAACGCCAACCAACAACGCGCGTTCGTGTGCGCCGACACATTTTCCGCATTGCACTTTTATCGAGCCGGAAGCTAAATCGCGGGAAAACACTCGCGGAGCCTGTGGAAAATATGCAACGACGCATCGTATTGGCGTAATTAAGCCCGGACAATTGCTAATTAGCGACGAGTCCATCGTGTCCGTGTTTATCGCGTTCGGTTGAATCCTGTGACATAATCGTCGCCGAATACCGCGGTAACGACAATGTCTGACGAGCTCGCCGCGCGCGCGTACCCGAAATTACGCCAGTACTTGCGGTTGTATAATCGAGAGAAATTGTGTGGTAAATATTTGCGCGTCATACGCGAAACAACGGCGCGCTCCGCGAGTTAATTGGCTGCCAGGACGTTCAATAATAAGTTAACATCGGCGCGACACTCGCCGCGGTGCTAATAATAAAACTCGATTGTGCAAATGGCGACAGAATCGGGAACAGATGGCGCCCTCGATTCACCGGTGGTCACGCGAATAGTCGCATCACATCGTGATTATCGAAGAAACTTTCCACAAATTTAAAGCCGCTTTGCGGCGAAATTCAATATCGCTCTAAGCGTCTCAATTCGCGGCGTCGAATCGGCGCCGGAAGTTTAAATGCGCGCCTCGCCGATTTCTCTCGATTTCGTGAATCTAATACTTTTGTATATAGAACGACTTACATATACCCTTCTAACTTACAGAATGATCACATCGGTCGCATAATTCCATTCGAGCGTTAACATCTCGCAATACTCGAGCGTCGGATCGCGCACCGCTTTTCGAACTCGACTCGATGCGTTATGCGACGCTTGTGCCATTCTGCAGCATAAGTTCTTCCAGCACTCGGTAGCACACGTTGGATCCATCGATCGACAGAATGACACGATAGGACTCTATCCATCCTTCCCTCCTCAATTTACACGCCGGCCCACCCTTCTGGGCAGGAGATGACATGCGAAACGCTTACAGTATCTCTTACAGCGAACGACCTAATTACAAGTTTACCTTTTCTGTTTTCTGTTCGCTTCTTATGTTATGGACCGAACACCCTGGTTTCTGGTTTCTCTGTGCAGTCCTTCAAGGTAATTCGCCACCGCCTTTTTCTCTAAACTCTCTCTTTATATTTTCGCCTCTACTTTTCTTTCCGCTCTGATATATTCATTCGGATTCACCGTCACTCTGTCACCATAATTGTACGGAAGTGAGAGATCTCGCCGAGATCAGTGCATTTGGAATAATTAGAGTGTGGAGATTTAGGTTTGTCATATCATATCGGCGCTTTATCGTCTCCGATGAAATTCTCTTTCAGCTCAAACTCTCTTTTATGTATGTTTATTTGGAAAAGTGAAAATGTCTGCGAGATAAATTGCACATTTTTCATGATTATTCTTTATGGTGACAATATCACATGAACATCACATACATTATTCACACATACAAGTCTCCTTCATTTTTTCGTAATACATTCTGATCTTATTTCCGCTTTCCTTCTATCATCTTTTGTTCTCTGTATATTTGGCATTTCTCTCTCCACGAGCACTTCATGTCTCTCTTTAATGGTTTCGTTTTTGTTTTCTCTTTTTCACGTGTCGTCATGTCTTTTCGCTCATCGTCGATATCTTTACTGCGTGTCGGTGTCCGATCTTATTGGCGAAAACA